AAAAAAAAAAAAAAAAAAAAAAAAAAAAAGATAACAGTGCCGTTCGGCACTGTTACCCGTGTCCAGCAAGCATGCTGGACACGGGTCCAAGGCATAACGATTGTGTCAACTTGGTATAGCTACAACCGGGGGCTGATGAGAAATAGCTATGGTTAATAGGTGTGAGATCTTACTTTTGGTGCCGGTGGTGCAACGAGTCTAACACCAGAGTTGTGAGCCCTATATTATGGTATATATATATGTGTGTGTGCGCGCGCGCGTATTAGCATAAATGATATCAAAATGTTGAGTTGGAAAGTGATTCACAAATTATTATTGAGTTAATGACAGTCAAGGTCCCTTGACTTTAGTGGTTTTGTCATCTATCATCCTTAACTTTAATATGTCTCAGCGTAGTCATCTGACTTCGTAATTGTGACGTTCAGTGGTCTTCCCGTTAGTATCTCACGTTTGCACCATTAATTTTAGGAGTAAAATGGTAATTTTTCGTTGTTTATTGACTTTTACAGAATAAAATAAATATTTAATTATTAAATAATAATAATAAAAATAATTTAAAAAAAAAAAAAAAGAACACCCGCCGGAGAAGAAGAAGTCTTCATCTCCGGTAGGGTCCCTTCGTCTCTAGACGAAGGTACCTCTTCATCTCCTGACCGGAGATGTTCTTCATTTCTTGGCCGGAGACGAACCTCTTCGTCTCCGGCCAGGTTTCTTGTTTTTTTTTTTTTTTTTTTTTTTTTTAATATCTATTTTATTTAAAATTATTTTAAAAAATAATTTTTAAATTTGATAACCGTCAAACCAGATAAACAAGTCATTTTGGGTTAAATTGCCTGAGTTTATGTTGTTCAGTTATACTTTCTCAATCTATTGCACCTAGGGGTGGGCGTAATTTGGATTAACCGAACTACCACCGGAAATCTGAACTGAATTTTAAATTTCGGATGAATTCGAATAGTTATCGGTTAGGATATTTTAAAATTTAGTATATCCGAATATTATATAAAAAATATAAATACAAAAATAATAAAACCGTTATAAAATTCAAAATTGATAAAAATAAAATTTTGGGTATATCCAAACTAACCCGAAATAATTTCACTCGAACCGAATATATCCGAATTAAATTTGGTTCGGATATCGGGTGGCAAAAATATCACTCGAAATTTTTGGATATTCAAAATAAAATTCGGGTGTCACCTGAACCGAACCGACGCCACCCCTAATTGCAGCCCAAAGAACTACTCTAAATATGTATTACTAACTTCAAAAATCAGTAAACGAGAAATTACCATTTTACCCCTGGAATTAACGGTGCAAACGTGAGATACTAACGGGAGGACTGCTGGAGGTTAAAATTACAAAGTCAAATGACTACACTGAGACATATTAAAGTTAAGGACGATAGATAACAAAATCACCAAAGTCGAGGGACCTTGACTGGCATTAACTCAATTGTTATTCAACTCTATCATTTGAGGGGAATAGGGATTTGAAACCCTTATTTCCATGATCTTAGTGTTTTGGTTTTGTAAGTCTGGCCAAAGATTAGCTTTAGCTAAATTTTGAGCAGGAACGAGTGTGAATGGACTAACTAATTAATGGGTGGTAAATAATCAAGTTTTCCACTGCTACTGATCATTTTCTAAAGGTGACAAATGGGCCATGAAATTTTTATTTTTTTTCAAAAAAAAAAAATAAAAAAAAATCGTTGATAACTGATGATTTATTTAGATGTTATCTCATTGAAGTTCATCCATGAGACAATTCAATTCCTAGTATATTAGGGTGTTCGAAAAATACAGAGTAATTGATTAGTCATTTTTTTTTTTTAGTTTGATTGATCAACTTAAGTTTTAACTAGTTGACTTATCAATAAATTAAGATGGGTGTTTTTTAGTAAACAGTTTTTTTCTGGATTCCAAATAACCAAAAATGAAAATGCCACTTAGAACAACATTTTGAGATCATATTATTCTATTTTATTTTTGAAATTTTAATTTATCCTTGAACTCCATGAACTATTTGCTCTATCTAGCTTATCCACTGATTGGTGGAAATTCCTCCAATCTTCAACAACGGACAGTCAAATTGTGATTAATATACACCAATGGCTCGTTTGGTTCACGGAATAGGCCGGAAATGGCATAGCATTCCCAGTAATAGACATATTCCTTTGTTTGGTAACCATTTTTATTACCAGGAATATTAATAGCCTATTATCTCAAATAAGGTAATAGCTATTACTAGGGCCCCCCCTGGTATTAGCCTATTACTGAACGCTCATGAATAGATTTTAGAATCTATTTTCTTTTTTACCCCTTTCTTTTAGCTAATTTTTTTATCCTATATATAAATTTATCCTATTTCACCACCGTCGTCGCCACCATCACCACCGCTGCCGCCACCACCACCACCACCATCACCGTCGTCACCGCCCCCACCACTGCCACCGCCACCGCCACCGCTACCACTGCCACCACCACCACCACCCCAGCACCACCACCGCCACCACCACCACCGCCGCCCCCACCACTGCCATAACCACCACCGTCGCCACCGCCACCACCACCACCACCACCACCACCACCACTACCACCCCAGCACCACCACCACCACTACCACCCCAGCACCACCACCACCGCCACCACCACCATCACTACCACCGCCACCGCCACCACCATCGCCACCACCACCACCACCACCGCCACCGCCACCACCATCGCCACCACCACCACCACCACCGCCACCATCACATATTTTTATAAGGGTATTTATGTCTTTTAAAACATATTTCATTTCTATTCCTTAAATCAACCAAACACTGTAATATAATTCCTAAAGTCTATTCCTTTCGCGAACCAAACAATAGAATACAATTACTATTCTATTCATTGTCTATTACATTCCTTATGGAATAGCATTCCCATTACCTCAAAATTCATTCCGTGAACCAAACGTGGTGCAATAGTGATGGGATGGGAATCCTGCCTTGCTTCGATTTCATCATTAATGATTTTCAAGCATTTCCTTTGATTTTTTTCTCTTTTTTTATAAAAAAATATTTGATCTGTTACCTTTATTGTTGTAACCAATCTCCAACGACACCATCAAAATACTAGCTATTGTTTGTGTTGATGCCTTGATGTCAAACACCAGCCACTGTTGTTGATTTCTATTGTTGAAGCCACAACAAAGGATAAATGATTTTTTTTAATGATACTGCATATGAGGAGATACTACTACAAAAATGAGTATATAAGTCTAACTTTACACTTACACCTTTTAGTAAAGATGTAGTGTAAAGTTAGAAAATACACTACAATGACAAAAGTGTAAATAAATACATAAGAAAATGTTACACCTGTATCTAAAAGGTGTAGCGATTTCTTTATAAAAATAAGAAACCAAAAACACTTTTCGCTACACCGTCTTCCAAAAGGTGTCTCGAAAAGTATAATTAATAAAATAATAAAAAAAATTTTGCTACACTTTCTTCCAAAAGGTGTCTCGAAAAGTATAACTAATAAAATAATAAAAAACACTTTCCGCAGCACTTACCACCATTGGTGTAGCGGAAAGCACTCAGTATATATATATATATATATATATATATATATATATATATATACACACACACACACACACACACACTTTTTCCTTCGCCTCAACGCTCCCGTTTCTCCTCTTCTTCTTCAACACTGCTCAGCTGGACCGGGAATGTCGAGCGTCGCCGTCGATTCGTCCGAGGTTGTTAGCTCTTCCGTGGCCGACGACGATGCATAGTCGTGCAGTTGCGACACCTCTAATGCACAGAGCGTCTGTCTCTCCTTCGCCTTCTTTTCCCTTCTCTAATGAACTCTTGTCTCGCATGCATCAGATCTGCGATGGTGGGGAAAGAGGATGCTGGCACCATCGGATAGTCCACCCCCTTTTCTGCTTAGCGAAATGTCGATTGTCGCCGTCGATGTCTCTCGCTTCTTTTTATTCAAGATCACCGACGATTCGTCCGAGGTTCTTAGCTCTTCCGTGGCGGAGGATTTCTCGGTCGATGACGATGCACAGCGATGGAGAGAGCACTAGATCTGAAATCCACGAAGAGAGTAGCGACAGAGAGAGCATCAGATCTGAAATCGCCTGCGGAAAGAGCATAAGATCTGATGTATATAAGGATCTGTTAACAAAATTCAAAATTTGAGATTGTCTTTTTCCAACGGACATTTGTCCCACTCAAAAAAAAATAAAAAAAATAAAAAAAATTGCATGTGCCCAGGCATGCACGCGGCCGCATGTAAGCACGCAATTGGTGTGTGATTACCACACGTCACGTGCTTAGAACAACATGTTCCTGAGAGAACAGTCTCTTCGAGACATGTTGCTCCTTCCTCTTCATCCTTTCTCTCTTCTAACTTTCTCCTCCTCTTTTTTCTCCTATTAGAGATGTTCTTAGCTAAAACACCAAACCTTGGGTTTCTCTACCCAATGATAAAGGTGTCAAGTTGTAAATATGGATGTTAAATACTGAATGTTATAAGTGAGGGAGAGAGTAAACTAGTGAACGCATAAAGAATAATAATGTTATAAAATAATCTTAAAAACTAAAATATTTAGAAGTTAATAATCAAAATTAATGTTTCTATTACTTTAGGACCTAATTAATTTTATAGTAACTTTAAAACTCAAAAAAATAAAAATAATGAATAACGATACATAATTACATATAGGTAAAAGAGATTGACTCCACTACATAAGAGTAGGATTGCAAGAATGCCAATTCCCTTTCAGTATAATTATAATTATTAAATAAATTGGAAGAATAATTATAATTATTATATAAATTATATATGCTCCGTATTCCGTCGAGAAGGATTAGGCGATTAGCTGGACATTTTTTTTTTTTTTTTTTTGAGTACTACTAATTGATCATAGAAATATGAAAATATCTATATCGAGTCGGCAAGAATCACCACGCAGTATAAATATATATATAGTGAGTATATATACGGAGTAATTAATAACGCGTTAAACGCATCTCTTTCTGTCTTGTGGACGGCGAAACTTTTTTGCTGAGAAACCCTAGTTAGAATAGAGCATGGCTGGTATGTATGGATACGAAGGCGATGGCTCGGCTCCGCCTCCTAGGGACGGAGGAGGGTATGGCGGTGGAGGATACGGATCTTCTGGCCGCGGAGAATATGCTGGCTCTGGAGGTGGAGGTTACGGATCTGGCAGTGGCGGGGAATATGGCAGTTCTGGTGGTGGAGGATACGGATCTGGTGGTGGTGGTGGGGGAGGCGGTTACGGAGGAAGCCGTGGTGGTGGCGGTGGTTACGGAGGAAACAGCGGCGGAGGTGGTTACGGAGGAAGCGCTGACGGGGGCGGTTATGGAGGAAGCGGTGGCGGTAGGAGCGGTGGCAGAGGAGGTGGAGGATATGGTGGTAATTCGTATAACCGAGGTGGATAATTATTCCCTCGGGTTCCTTAATCATCTTACTGCTGACTTCTCTGTACTTAATTTGTTGTTTTAATATAATTTTTCCATATAGGCGGCGGTGGACATCAAGGAGGTGATCGTGGTGATCGTGGTGGTCGCGGTGGAGGCGGTGGAGGCGGTAGGGGAGGTGGTCGCGGTGGTGGAAGCGGCAGGGAAGGGGATTGGCGTTGCCCTAACCCAAGGTAATGATTGTCTCGCTGCAGATCTAATATTTTATTTCAAGTTCTTGTTCTTTTCTTTCTCTGAAACGGGGTGTAATTTGTTACTGTAACATCTGACATAAACTTATTTATTCATGCAAACATTTAAGAGTCTAATTTTATTGGTAGAATTCAATTTTGATGGCATGGGCTGTGAGCATGCTATAAAAGTCTACTGTTTCCTATGGGCTTGAAGGAAGACCTTTTCTTGAAGTTGTTCCATAGTTATCATCTTTCTGTTCATACTAAACTTGGACTAACATTCCTTCTCTCTTTTTTTGTTTTTTCATTAAATTGGTAAATAAAGTTTGTTAAAATTGTATCTTGTTGTAAGTTACATTTTATGCGGAAAGGTATTAATCATGGCATGTATGGCTCTGTAGTTGTGGGAATTTGAACTTTGCTAGAAGAGTTGAATGTAACAAATGTGGTGAGCCTTCTCCTGCTGGTACTGATGATCGTGGTGGCAGAGGTGGTAACAGTTATAACAGAGGTGGAGGTGGTGGTGGTGGTGGTGGCTCATATGGAAATAATCGAGGTGGGAGAGGTGGGAGTTTTGATAGTGGAAGTGGTGGAGGTGGTAGAAGCAGTTCTTATGGTGGTAACCAGGGAAGAGATGGCAGTGGTTATGGCCAAGGACCTCCTGTACCTTCAGCTTATGGGGGTCCTGATAACAATTACCCTCCACCACCTAGTAGTTATGGTGGGAACAATAATTATCCACCTGATGCAGTTCCTCCTCCTGCAAGTTATGGTGGTGGAGGGGCTTCATATCCTCCATCTTATGGTGCACCTGCTGGTTATGGTGGCAATGCTCCATCTGATGCCCGGGGAGGAGGGAGGGCTGGCCCACCTGCCAGGTTTGATGGGGGGTATAGTGGTGGTGCTTATGGTAGTTCTGATGAAGCTCCATTAAAGGTCAAGCAATGTGATGAAAATTGTGGGGATTCCTGTGACAACTCAAGAATCTATATCTCAAATTTGCCTCCTGATGTGACCGTTGATGAACTTAGAGAACTTTTTGGAAGCATCGGACAAGTAATATGCGTATTTCCTTTGGTTATGATTCTGCATTTCATATTTTTGTCACCTTGGTTGGTTGGATATTTTGGTTTAGTTACAGCATCCCTTGCACTTAAAGATGTGATTTGCATATTATCCATAATGCTTTTTGCCAATTTTATACCTCTTCTATGGTTACATTTACATCTCAGCTTATGTAGATTTTTTCTGTTTTTTTGTTTTCATTGAGATCTGGTGGCGTTCATAGATGAAATTGAATTTTGTTATTGCTACTTTTAGCAGCATGTGATAATTGCTGGTGTGAAATTTAGCAATTGACATCTATTCCCTGTACTGAACTGAACTGGAAACCTTTTTTCTCAACTAGGTTGCAAGAATTAAGCAAAAGCGTGGCTACAAGGACCAGTGGCCCTGGAGTATAAAAATATATACAGATGAGCAAGGAAATAACAAAGGTGATGCGGTGCTGTCTTATGAAGATCCTTCTGCGGCCCACTCTGCTGGTGGCTTCTTCAATAGTACAGTCCTCTACTGCATCTATGGATTTTAGTCTGTACTTCATTTACTTTTTAAATTCATTAAAACTTGCTGTATTTCCCAGATCACATGTTGAGAGGTAACAAAATCAGTGTTGTGATGGCTGAGAAGTCTGCCCCAAAAGCTGCTCCTGCATATGGTTCCAGGTAACTTTAAACAATGCCTGCCCCTATGTATGAAAAATTGGATATTTTTTGGATTCTTTACTATTACTTCTTTTCTCATTTATGTTTATATATATCTCTTTATAACATGAAATATTATTTTTTACAATAAATTTCTCACTTATGAGATATTGACTGTTTTTAAGCATATTCAATATTGACTTCTAAATTGAATGCCCATACAATAGCATTGGTGATTTTTTATGTAAATTTCAATTTTGGTCCTGTGACTAGGGTCCTGTTAATTGTAGTTCCACGACTTTTAAAAGTGTTAATTTAGTACCTTGACTATGCAATTTTTATCAACTTTGGCCACTCCGGCCAAATTTCGCCCTTAAACTTTATTCATCAATTAGTGTATAATCTTAGAGGCAAAATCGTCTTTTGAACTAGGGTCTTAAGATTATAAACTAATTGATGAATTACGTTTTTTTCGGCGAAATTTGATCGGCAATTTGGCCGGAGTGACAAAAATTGATAAAAATTGCATAGTCAAGGTACTAAATTTACACTTTTGAAAGTCGTGGACTGCAATTAACATGACCCCTATAGTCACAGGACCAAAATTGAAATTTATTTATTTTTATTGGTTGGTATGCGTTGGCGATTTGGAAAGTTATATTTCAATTCAGTTTATGCTGGGCTTCTAGCTGTTTTAGTTTATGGAGTTGTTTATTCTGTTTTTGGTATTTGCTTCGACTATTGTTTGATGGGTTGCCTGCATTTTGTGTAGGGGTGGTGGCAGAGGTGGTTACGGTGGTGGTGGTGATAGACGGAGAGACAACTACAGAGATGGAGGCTCTGGTCCAGATAGGAACTACCACGGTGGAAACCGATCACGACCATATTGAGTTTCAGCCAAGAATCTTATGTACTAAATTTGTGATGGGAGGGTTTTTCTTTAATTCAATTCCCAGATATATTCTCTTAATTGGTGACTAAGAGGTAGGTTGTCCTCATAACTCTGAGCAATACCCTTCTTTTGGTAATTGCTACATGGTGGGAGCGTTTTCCAGTTGGAAGTTTGATTAATATGAACTATGTGAATGTTTTTGATAGACGGCGAATGGATATTCCTCAAATTGCTGCTAAGCTAAGGTAGGTTGAAATATTCAGGTGAGTGTTGCTTCTTTGAACATCCCATACTTGGAGACTAAATTTAAGGATGTTTTGTTTGCATTTTAACACAAACTGCTGATCCTAAACTTCAGGAAAGTTAGAAGTTAATTATAACCAGGCTTAAACGGCATATTTAGTATTAGGTATTAGTATCTACTGGCCTGATGTAGTAAGTTTCATTTGTGTATGTTTCCTCTCTCTCCCCTTTCATTTGTTGGTGAGGGTGTCTATTTCGTGTCTCAACAGCGAAGGTTACTTAGTTGCCATGGCATGATGAGGCTGGAGGTGTTTCTTATTGGAGTGTACGTGTGCTAGCTACATTAAATTACAACAAAAGATAGAAACTAAATCCCAACATGGACATACTTTCTCTGGTTTCATGTATAGATATAGATTAGTGCTCACAGATGCCCGAAAGAGCCCTCCTATATCCGACTAATCCGAGGGGGTGCTCTGGGCAGTCGTGATAGCCATTAGACGCCATTAGATGCAGGAGACTCTCAAGCTCTTCTTTGGAGATTGTAACCAACTCCCTAGAAGAAGATGAATGTATTTTAGCGTGGACCAAATATCACTGCCAGTCAGCTTCAGCCTCTCCTCTTAAGCCCCTATGGAATTTGCATTTGGAGATTCTGTGTATTGGATGATGAAATTCTTCATTTTTTTTTTCTACTTCTAATTGTATTTTAATTAGACGCAACTTTTTTGTTGATCTGATTTTTATTTTGTATGTCTTACTTATCTGAAGGCAAACATATAATAATGTATAGACATTAGTTTCTGCACACTGCGGCGTGTAGTTGAAGACGTATTTAACACCATAAGAAGAAACACCGAGAAAGAGTGCGGAAATAGATGATTGATAAAATCTGTCTAGTTACTTTGATTTAATAAGATTGTATTAATTGTATTTAATTTTAACAAAATTTCTTAAGTAGTGTTAATCTTGTAAATTAATGTATAAAATGTTTTGAGGCCAAGTTTCTAAAAATATATTGGGTAAATTAGGTTTGGTTGGAAGGAATGTATCAGGAAAGGTGTGTATTCATTAAGATTTTTAAAATTTTTAAAGTAACGGATTGTAAATGACTTATGTAGAGTCTTTTTAAAACTTTCTTAGAATCTTTTAAGAGTTAATACAACAAATGGTGCTCTAACTATTGAATTTTTAGTCTTTGATTTTTAATGGGTGTTAATTTTTTTTGTAAATGGGTGTTAAATTTAAGAGAGTAATCGTCAAATCAAAGCATAAGTTGGTGACAACCCGTATGTTTAGCGGTGGTATCATGAGAGAAATTTTGGCACCTATTGATTAGAGTCTATGGCAAGATTTTCATCGCCGGTGCCCTATTCTTGGTTTGTGAAAATGGCGAGATTATTATCCATGACCTTGACGACGACGAGAACATTAAACTTCGAGATGAGAATTTTCAGAGACAGAGGCAAAGCTGCCTTGATCAAGGGGGAGAGAAGGGGTAAAACTTCGAAGTGGCATGGTGAAGGACAACTTAAGAGAAGCGGTAAGGCGGCTTATGATGGAGTCTAGCAATGAGACTGAGTCTCTAGCTTTGGTAGTATTGCTGTGTTTTCAGCTTCCAGGAAGGAAGGATGAGAAGAAAGTGAGAGATGAGTGAATTAAGTTTTTTGCAATTGCATGGGCTCGGAAACATTGGAAAGCCATATGAGGAAACAATAGCAATTTGCAGTAAGAAGATGTAGTTGAAGGTTGAAACAATTATTGGTTCAAGCTTTGAACACTATTCATGGAGTCTAACAATATTTGGCATGAACATGATGAGAAAGGAGTTTGGTTCAGATGATAGATTCGAACCCATGACCTTTGGTCATTGGCTTTGATACCAAATTGAAGCATGTGATTCATCTCAACTAAAAGTCTAAGTTGATAGTTAAATTGCACATTAATAATTATATGTTCAACACCGAGAGCAAAAAAGACCAATAGGGACTAGGGAGCGGCATCGGTTATCCCTTCGGCTAAAGGTGCTGCGAGGTTGTGGGTATCGCAGTGGACAACTGGCGGCGGTGCTCACAAAAGCGACAGTGAAGGCAGGTGACACAATGGCATGGTGAGAGTATAAAGAATCAAACACTAATAGGCGGTGATGTAGAAACACACTTCAATTCCATCTCCTCCTTTTTCTTCAAGGCATTTAGAGAATTTATTTTAATTTTAATTTCTACAAATCTTTGTTGTTTTACAGTTTTCAACATTGTATCAACAAGGCGGTATCTCAAATGGATTTGTTATTAATTATTTTATTTTTCTTTGATTTGACAAAAATATCCTTAAATTTAACACTCATTTAACACTCATTTAACAGAAAGATTGACGGAGAATTATTTGTGATAAAAAATAAAAGTCGAGGCATGTGTTTTGGTTGAATTGAAAGGAGTACTACCCCAATAGTCAGATGACCATTTGTGGTATTAACTCATCTTTTAAACTTTCATCATCAACTTTATAAGTGTATAATAAAAATTCGTAGGACAAATATTTAAAGACTTTAAAAGACTTTTTCATATTAAAAAGTTTTAAAAAATCATTAAAACTTTAAATTAATACACCCTTACAAACATTCCTTAACTTCCATTAATATATTATTTATAATTTTCTTACAAAAATAATTTTTATAAATCATAAATAAATTAATGCATTGCAATAAAATAAAAAATAAATATTAATTGTCATAAATATAGAGTATATTATACATAAAGAAAATATAAGCAACGAACATACAATCGAATTTGAAAATTTCTCAAATTCATTACCAATAATAATAATAATAATAATAACAATAACAATAACAATAACAATAACAATAATATCATCATCATCATCATCATCATCATCATCATCATCATCATCATCATCATCATCATCATCATCATCATCATCATCATCATCATCATCATCATCATCATCATCATCATCATCATCATCATCATCATCATCATCATCATCATCATCATCATCATCATCATCATCATCATCATCATCATCTATCCCTTGGGATTTTGAAAGCCGTATGCAGAAGCTAAGCTATTTGTTAGGAGTGTATTACTTGAGTTAGACTAAGATTCTCTCTTGTGTTTTTGTATTTATGTCTTCAAACTTTGTTATTTAATACAACACACATTTATATTTTCATCTGGTATCAATTTTTAAGTTTTCTATCATGGCAGCTCTCGGTGTTAATGATGACGGCTCTGTTCGTGACTCTCTGAACGGACCGTTACCGAGGCTCCTCCTGTACCTACCAGAAATAGCCTCTCATTGGCTCATCATTTTGTATCCCTAAAATTAACTACCTGCAATTTTCTATTTTGGAGAACACAGATGCTGTCGTTCTTGGAAAGCAAAGGTCTTCTTGGTTATGTTGACGGCACGCTGCCCTATCCGTCTCTCTCCCCGACGGCTAGGGATGTCAATCAGGCCAACCCACTCGGTTTCGGGCTAGCCCTGTCGGGTTGTCGGGCTAATCGGTTCAGGCTAATTGGTTTATTAATATTTTATTCTCGGATTCGGTTTGGCCCTAACCCTAAATTTTGGGTTGTCGGGCTAATCGGACGGGTTGAACCATCTGAACTAAAATTAGAAACTGAAAGTGAGTACCCATATTTAGAGTACGGAGCGCGGCTGGAGCGGGAAGTATACTCCCCGTCTCCGTCCTCAACGGGAAATTGAAAATAGTCCCTATCTACGTTCCCGAGGAGAATTTGGCGGGAACGAAGAATCCCATCCTCATCCATTTTTAGTCAAAATATTAGATTAATGTTGCTTTAAATTTTAAAAAACAAAAAACTTAAGTTTTAATTTAAATTATATATATATATATATATATATATATATATATATATATATATATATATATATATATATATATATATATATATATATATATATATTAATTATAATAATTATTCTATGTATGTTAGGTTTCACATCACTTCTATAATAAAGAATAGTTTTCAATAGTTCGGGTTGTCGGGCTAGCCCTATCGGGCTACAGGGCTAATCGGTTTCGGGCTCGTCGAGCTAATGTGTTTTATCAAGCTAGCCCGTTTGGGCCATAGCCCTATCGGTTTCGATTTTATCGGGTTTGGGCTAAATTGACATCCCTTGACGGCTGCTTCGACCGCGGACAGTGGAGCGGCTGCTGCTTCGGATCTTGCCTAGGGTCGGGCCTGACTGGACTAGGCATATGTGAAAGTCTTACGTTGTAAAGTTAATAAAAATTCTCAGTTAATTTAAATGTCATTCCGCTTGCTGGGTTTAAAGTTGTCTTGGGCGTCAATTGGCTTCGCACGTTGGGTGCCATACTCTGGGATTTTAATGCCCTAAGTATGAGTTTCTAATACAAAAATCAACACATAACGTGGCAAGGAGAACATGTACATCCCTCTAAGTTGCTTATTGCCATACAATCCTAGGTAAGTCTTTACACCGCACTTGATCACATTTTGACTGATTTTTCTGACCTCTTCCAGACATCATTGCCACCTCAAAGCAGTTGTGACCACCATAACTTATTGGTCAACGGTGCTGATCCAGTGGCGGTATAGCCCTATCGTTACGCTCGGGCACAGAAAGACAAAATTGAACGTCAGTGTCTGTCGATGATGGCACACTAGGGATTATACGACCTAATCGTTCCCCTTATTCATCCCCGGTCTTATTGGTACTCAAACAAGATCGTTCGTGGCACTTTTGCATGAACTACTGTGAACTAAATGCCAAGAAAGTCAAAGACAAATTTTCGATACAAGTTATTTAGGAGCTTTTAGATGAGTTGAATGTCCCGCGTTTTTTCACTAAGCTTGACTTCGAATGCATTCCACCAACGTGGGAAAAACAGCCTTCCAGACACATCACGACCACTTTGAATTTCTCGTGATGTCGTTTGCCTCTGCATTGCTCCGTCAATATTCCAGGGCCTTATGAACTAGGTTTTTGGTCTCGTGCTGCGTAAATTTGTTCTTGTATTTTTTTTATGACATTTTAATTTATAGCAGGTGGTGGGTTGAACATATTTCTCACGTTCGAATGGTATTCGGTCTTCTCTGCCAACACCAATTATTGCTTAAACGCTCCAAATGCTCCTTCGGGAAAGAAAAAAATTGTTATCTCGGCCACATCATTGATGCCAATGGTGTCTCCATGGATGCCAACAAACTGCATACGATTCTCAACTGGCCCCGGCTTCAAACCTTCAAAGGCCTGCGCGAGTTCCTGGGGTTCGTTGGTTTCTACCGTAAGCTTATTCATGACTTTGGTATAATAGTGGCTCCCTTAGTGATACTGAAATAGTACATTGACTACAACAAAATTTTCAATTTTGTCCCAAGTAATGAATATCTGAAGATTAAAGAAGAGGACCAAATTAGTTAAGATTTTTAAAGTTGTGAATTTTTTTTTTTTTTTGCTTGATTTTTTAAAGTTGTGAAATTTAATTAGACAAAAAAAATAATTTATGACTAAATTAATAATTTCGCTATAATAAAAGAACTATTTCAGTCATTAACTCTGAATTAATTTCTCAAAAAAAAAAAAAAAAAAAAAAAAAAAAAAAAACTTTGAATTGAATTTGCTGACGCCAGTTCTTTAATAGTGGTATCATAATATGCCTAGAATATGTAACAGCATGGAATCTTTTCGCTTGCTGCGTGTCTGCGACATTATTATTTATTAGTGTATCACTTATCACCATTTATAGGAAAAAGCATGTGCGTCAGGTGTTCTAGGAAGTCTCCTTCTGCTAACTGAAACATTACTTATACAAGTATGCCGTCTTTGGTTCAAACCCAATAAGCTTTCCACGTTACTTTTTTGGAAAAAATTGTGGAAAGGTATAAACATTCTAATAGTTGTAAACTATAATTAAAGAAAAATGTGAAAAGGAGAGAAGCATGGGTTCGAGGAAGAACTCAATGCTCCGTCTTCTTCTGCTACTTACAAACAAAGTTGAAGATTTTTCATGCTCTCATGCGGGGGACAACAACAGCAAAGGCAATGTTCTATTTGCTCTCCAATTCGTTCAAAGCCATCACAGAAACGGATTATCTTCGCTGGAAGCATTCGACTTACTGCAAACTATCCAATGAAAACATGCCTATGAGATATGTGGTTGTTGCGTATCATAAGGAGCATACGGGTTGTAATTTGCTCCACCATATCCGGTACCATCATCAGTACTAGGCTGAACCTGAACTATGAAAAAAGAGGATTGAGAGAGTTAAATACTCGGCAATTTTCAATAAACCAGAAGCCATGCTAATTAGAAAAGCTGCTATAAACTACAGTGCCAGTAGCCAAAACTAGAGCAGCAATAGAATTAAGTAAAGCTGCCATGCCAAGGACCTTGTAGTCCTCCAATGGCACCAAGTTGCTCCCTCTTAAGGGAGGTTGTGGGTTCGAGCCTCAGTGGAGGCGATATTGGCTCTTTGTGATTCATTTGATTGAGAAAGTAGTTATGAACAAATACTACATTGTAATAGAGTCAGTAGTATTAAAAAAAAAAAAAAAAAAAACGTAAAGCTGCCATAGCACCAGGAGATTGAAACTAGAATGCTGCAAAACTGACTTTTAGAACACAATTCATGTTAGCTCAAATTAAGAATACTATTACTCTCATATGTGATGTTTTTTTTCGCACATATGACTCTGCTTACTTCAACAGTTGCTGTAAGAAATGGCTCAGGAAACTTTGAATTTCACTGGAGTGACAGGACAAAATTGCAGTGCTTTGAAAAAAAACACTTAAACCCCCACCCAACCCCCCCCCCCCACCCCCCCCCCCCCCCAAATATATATATATACACAACTTCACTGAAAAGACAAACATGATGGTTTTGATTATTGAGCCTTGTTACAATATACAATCATTATTAGGCATAAGTGTTACCATCACTCAGCACACTGAGTGCTCATTCTAATTAAAGATTTAAAGTCCTCACCAGCTCAAGCTTGAAGAAGAGTGAACGATAGTTGAGGCATGGTGGAAGAGATGATTTAAGAAATGTGAGTTGATTACACAAAGAGAGGTTAATAAGGAGATTCTTCTAAATGATCAGCATAAGTGTTCGGCCATTTTTTGCATGCTGGGTGTTGGACAAATTAGAATGTGGAAAATGAAACTTAAAGTCAGCCTTTAAGGCAGACAAAGACCATTGCAAGAGAAATCTGTTAGAAAGTCCTATGTTTTCTGGTGGTAACATTTTGATGGAAAGTTGCAAAGTTTCTCTAGCATTCTACAAAAATGAATCTTTCTAACGACATTTATGAAGGGAAAGGGCTTTAAACCTCAGAAAGAAGTCTAAATGGAGCCTATTGAAAACAAAGATTTTGCTAAAACAATAGTGCCTCCAATGTAATTCTCAAGTAGAATAGAGTGCACTTTTTTTTTTGGGTATACCCAGGGTTTCCACTATTGGACACAGTGCTAAATTGTAAGCACCTCTTTTGGGTGGGACAGCTGGCCTGGAGATTTAAGGCTGCTCCATTCCCAAAGCCAAGGATCGAACCCTTGACCTTTGGTTAAGGATGGATGAGTCCCTTCCATTCAACCACACCCTCCTGATAATCAAGTTTCATGATGACTGAAGTTTTTACAAGCTAATAACTTTAACACTAATTTTTTCTAAGAAGCAAATTCAATTTGATCAATACTCATGGAGTGTTTGAACTCCTCCATAAATAATCAGGTCAAACGAAGATATCATTGGCCATTGCAACATCATTAATGTCATATCATGAAAACATGAACACAAACCTGCTGCATAGCATAAGAGTTAGGATACATGTTTCCACCATAACCGGTTGCAGGAACTCCATAACCTGCTGGATACGCTTGGCCTGAAGAAACAGAAAGATCAACAACTTGTTCTTAGTAAATAGCAAGAGAAGAACAGAAATATTCCATTAACATACTTGGTCCTACAGAAGCAACTGCCCTCGCCCTGTTCTCTGCAATTGCTAGCTCAGCACGTAGCTTTTCAATTTCACAACTCATCAACATCATATTCTTCTCCATTATCTGACTCTGTTCATGATTAATTTTTTTCATCTTCTTTTCATATTCAACAGCAGCCCTGCTCTTGTCCGCATGAGAAGACACAGTGAAGGTTTTATTAAATTATTTTTCATACTTTATTTTTAAAAAGAATAGAGGAGGTAAAAAAGTAAGCCAATTATAACACCAAAAAGCCCAATTAACTAAAATCTCATAACCTCAGTAGCTAATGACCATGGTTTAAATATGATTGTTTGTAGGTGACCTAAATCAGTCAATTTATGTAATCTTTCAGGTTTGAATTTCTCTTTCCATTGTGCTTCTTTCCTTATCAAAATTCTGAGTTTTCTTGAGAACTATTGCTACTGCTTTAGCCAAAGATGTGAATTACTGTTTTCTGAGGAAATTGCTGACATTTCCAGAGCATGAAAACTTCCTGATTTGTGCGCCGTTGCCAAAAATTAGCAATTTAATGGTTAAATAGTTCCAATTGCAAGCATGTAAACATGAAAATTGTAATACTGCAATACCTTCCTCTTTGGATATCCTTCTGAATTGTAGCAATGTCAGTTTTAATCTCCTTCAATTGCTTCAACTCCGGCCGGACCTTCGCTAGTTCATCCTCAGTCTCCTTCAACTTAGCAGTAAGCTCTTCACGGTCAGCCTTCATTTTCTCAATATCATCCTTGACTTGGGCCAGCTCAGCGACGGCGCGGGTCTCGGCCTCCGCTCTAATTGAATTCTCATATACCGCTCGCACCTCGGCATCGCACTCGGCCTTGACCGCGGATGCGACTGCGGTAAGCTGTCGGAGATCCTGCTGGGCGGCGGCAAGCTGCCGCTTGAGCGCGACGTGAGTAGTGGCGAAGCGCTGGTTCTCGAGGAGGAGGGTTTGGATATGGCGGTGTTGGATGGCGATACCGTCCTCCAATATGGCCGCAGGGCGGAGTCGGGCTTGGGCTTCAGGCGGAGGGATAAGAGGGATCACCCGATGATCGCCGACTGCCAGTGGATGACACTCCCCGTCCCTAAACGCTAAGGCATCTGGCGGTAGATAATTCCGTCCCGCCATTAGAACGGAAAAAGCTTTGCCGTACAGTTTATATACCCGGCGGTGGGTATTGGGGAGAGAACGCCGGAGCGCTAGGTAATTTCGCACATTTTAACAAATATAGAAAAAAAAGATTTCCAAAATAAGAAGGCCCTGAAATGTTGGGCTTTGATGGCAAGGTAAGCCCAAAAAGTTTTGGGCAAATTATATCGTGCACCGCGGTGCATAATCGATTATGCACAACGCATTAAAACGACGTCGTTTTATTTAATGAAAAGAAACGAAATTCATTCGGACCGTTCCGCAAAAAATAACTATGTTCTTCAGTTTCATTTTGTATACACTGCAGTTTCAATTCAACACAACTACAGTTTCATTTCGATATAACTACAGTTTCATTCAATATTTATAAACTCAAACTAGTTTTTTACGCGCATTGCGCGATTGGGATAATGCCCAATATCTTTTTAAATAGGTACTTTAAAGTATATAAATGCAAGATTATATTGGAATTGCTCATGCATAGATAATTGAATGTTGAATTTGCGTATTTAAATAGGTAATTCTAAGTTTACAAATGCAAGATAATATAGTCAAAATTGATTATAATTGTCAATAAAATAATTGTATAGGTATGGTTGAAACCAAATACGGGACATAAGGGAGAGCAAATAAAAATTAGGGCATAAAATATTAAATATATACTAATATTAAAGAGCTAACTGCTGATTGTCAAACAAGGACATCGCGAGATAGTTTCCCACTTCAATTTGTTGTGTGATTAGAATACTCTTTTTGTCAATAAATCCCCCCAAGTAGCAACCTTAAGGGCCCCCACACCCCGACCCGACAGAGCATTTGGGGGGTTATTATTATTATTATTATTATTATTATTATTATTATTATCATTATCATTATCATTATCATTATCATTATCATTATCATTATCATTATCATTATCATTATACCATTAGGTCATTTTACATGTTAATCTAAACATCTAATTTTTTTCAAATATCTGTTTACATATCGTTGATATAATTCGCTGGTCAAATCCGCTAACGCTAACTGCTGATTGTCAAACAAGGACATTTCGGGGTAGTTCTCACTTTAATTTGTTGTGTGATTTGAATACTCTCTTTGTCAACAAATCGTTCAAGTAGTCAATATGATTGCCTTTATAAATTATATATATATATTTTAATTTTTTCATGGTATTAATAAAATACTTGGTAAATAAATATATAGCATTATTTTGTATTATAAATTTGATATTTAATTAAAAAATAGTGCACAATAAAGATAATAGACAATGTAGTGAATATAATCAATTGATGAATTTGAATGTAAAGAATTTTTACATCGGAGAAATATAAAGACAATATAACTAATAAAATTATTTCTCTTAATTAATTTATTGATAATGAATAATTTTTTTTAATAAAGACATTATAGGGATAATGCAGCGAATATAATCAATTGATGAATTTGAATGTAAAGAATTTTTATGTTGGAGAAAAATAAAGACAATAAAACTAATGAAATTATTTCTCTTATTTAATTTATTGATAATGAATAATTTTTTTGAATAAAGACATTGTAGACACATAATTCTAAATTAAAGAAATGCATATGTATTATTTTTTGTTGTAGCTACTAAATTATTATTTATGCCAACTTTGGTTGTGGTGGGGTTCGAATCTAAGACCTTTCTTATTGGAATCAATGAGTAAGTTAATGATGAACTAACAGAAATTAACGGAAAAGATAATATTTAACGGAAAAGTTAACGGATAACCATATTCATTAAGGATAAATTAGGAAATCTTAAAAAAAATTAAAATCTGATCAATCTGAGCCATTCATTTGATTAAAAAATTTGACCGCCATTTTTTCTACTCATTATATGCCTAACTCTCTTGGGCTCTTATTAGTGTGTGTGTATATATATATATATATATATATATATATATATATATATATATATATATATATATATATATATATATATATATATATAAGTAGATATGTGAAAATGTTATTTAATTTTATTTTATATACATTATAGTTTCATTAAAACACAACAACATGACCATTTTGATATAATTACAGCTTCATTGTACAATATACACTAAAATATGTGAAATGTTATTCAGTTTCATTTTATATATACTGCAGTTTCATTTCACCACAACTACAGTATCATTTTGAAATAACTGCAGTTTCATTTTAATATGCAAATAATAGTGAGGTAGTGTCGATTTAAATACACTGTAGTGTCACTCCGTTTGCACTGCGCGGTGCATAATCGATTACGCACCGCGGTGCACGACATAACGACCCGTTTTTTGTGGAGCTATGGAGAACGACAAATTATATCGTGCACCGCCATCAAAACGACGTCGTTTTATTTAATGAAAAGAAACGGAATCTATTTCGCTCTGTTCCGCACCGTTCCGCAAAAAAATAACTCTGTTTTTCAGTTTCATTTTGTATACACTGCAGTTTCAATTCAACACAACTACAGTTTCATTTCGATATAACTACAGTTTCATTTAATATTTATACACTCAAATATGTGAAAATGTTATTTAATTGTATTTTATATACACTATAATTTCATTAAGACACAACTACATGATCATTTGAATATAATTACAGCTTCATTGTACAATATACACTCAAATATGTGAAATGTTATTCAGTTTCATTTTATATATACTGTAGTTTCATTTCACCACAACTACAGTATCATTTTGATATAAATGTAGTTTCATTTTATAATATAAAAATATAGTACGTGAGCCAGTGTCGGTTTAGACACACTGTAGTGTCTGACGCGCGGTGCACGATATAACGGCCCCACAATTTGCGGACACGCGGTCCAAAAACGGCGTCTTTACAGTTATCGGAGCGCGCATGTTTAATGTATTAATTACCAACTGATATTACAGTGTATCTAAACTGACACTGCTTCACGTATTATTTTTATATTATCAAGTGAAATTGCAATTGAAATGAAATGAAACTGTAGTTGTGTTGAAATGATACTGCAGTGTATACAAAATGAAACTGAATAACAATTTCACATATTTGAGTGTATATTGCCCAGCGAAATTGTAATTATATCAAAATGATAATGTAGTTGTATTGAAATGAAACTGCAGTGTATATAAAATGAAACTGAATAACATTTCACGTATTTGAGTGTATATTGTGCAATGAAGTTGTAGTTATATCAAAATGATCATGTAGTTGTGTTTTAATGAAACTATGGTGTAATAAAATAAAATTAAATAACATTTTCACATATTTGAGTGTTATAATATCGAATGAAACTGTAGTTATATTGAAATGAAACTGTAGTTATATTGAAATGAAACTACAGCTGTATACAAAATGAAATTGAATAACAGAGTTACTTTTTGCGGAACAACGCGAAACAGGTGCTATTTCTTTTCATTAAACAAAACGACGTCGTTTCGAAGCTCGGGACATAATCCATTATGCACCGTGGTGCACGATATAATTTGCCTGGAGAACTGGCCAAATTATATTATCAATTGTTATACTGTGGAACCGTGTCCAGCTTGTAAGGTGAACACGGTTCTATGTTCATAATTACTGAACTCTATGTTCATAATTATAAAACTCTATGTTCATAATTTTTGAACTTCATATTCACAATTATTGAACTCTATATTCACAATTACAAAACTTTATGTTCATAATTACTGAACACTATGTTCATCATAATCAAACTCTATGTTCATAATTTTTTAACTTCATATTCACAATTATTGAACTCTATATTTACAATTACAGAACTCTATGTTCATAATTATAGAACTCTATGTTTATAATTTTTGAACTCTATATTCACAATTATGACAGTTTTGGAACTATGTCCACCTTATACTATGGATCATAGTCTACATTGCAATATGAGTTTTAAATAAATATTCATTTTTAATATATTAAAGATTCTTTATTTGTGTACTCATGGTTCATTATTTGGTATACATTCAATAAATAAACATTCAATATATTAAAAATAAACTTTTAGTATATTAAAAATGTATCTTATGGTCAAGTATATTGTGGTTTAATAACATCAATGTTATTATTCTAAATAGAAGGTCACAGATTTGAATCTAATCCTAATCAAGAATGTTGGCATATATCATATTGATCAGAACTGAGTAATATTACACATTCTCTCATATTTTATTCCATTTTCTACTACTGCTTACCTGACAACTTTGATTCATTTGTAAAATGTGGGCTACGATTTTTATGCATTTATTTTCTTCTTCTTCCAATAAAATCAGTGTTTTAAAAAAATCACGCCTAGGCACTGCCCAACCATGGTGCTTTCCCGGTTAAGCGCCACCTAACCTGCCGACAGACTAGGCACCTAACTTGACCGACTTATTCCCTAATATTGAGTTTTTTTTTTTTTTTTTTTTTTAAATAAAGAAGTTAATTTATTAATTATATGCCGAAACATTTACAATAAAGATCGATGGAATGGAATCGACCGAATTATTATTATTTTTTTTTACAATTCCTAGAGTCATGTGTAATATATTTCCATGTGACAAAAGAGGAGTACTACTCCGACGCGAGTGTCCTCTGTAAAAGATGATGGGATCCCATTGCACAACTGATTATATATGCTTGTCTTTTTCTATTTGTCACGAGCGTCACCTTTATCCTTCGAAGAATACACAAAATAATGATTTATGGACTTTTTGTTGTCATCCCTTATAAAATTTGGAAAAAAAAAAGTAATAAAAAAATGTTCGAATTATTTAAAAGTATTTAATTACACTCTGGAAGACTCGAACTAAAAACTGTTCTGCATTCAATTTCACTCCCTTTCTGTAAAGAGGTTAATGTGCCTAATTATTGTTATTTCAATTTTAATTTTATATGTATAGCGTATCACTAACTATGCTTTCTTACTGGGGGCTCAAACCCATGACATCTATTTAAGAGAATCACTTCATTAGCAATCAAATTATTAATTAATCGAGTCAAGTTTAAATTTAATTTTATTTTGACTCGTAACTCATCGAGCTATATTGTTAGGAACATTCTGTATTAGATTTTGATGATAC